TATCCTTTTCCAGTCACCCCTCTAATTGTGATTTCATACGAGACCACTGTGGAGAAACACGCAGCCGGGAAAGGCTGGAGGAAGGAGGTTTGTTCTTTGGACGAGCGTAGTAGTAGCAGTCGTCGGGATGAAGGTTGATGTAGCGGTTATAATCGTCTCTGGATGTGGCGGAGGTGTCGAGCTGAGCGATGGAACAAGCCGCTTATCAGTGGGTGGTAAGGTGGACGCTGATGGCCGAGCTTGTACCTCGGGTACCTCCATTGCTGTGCTCAGGTGTTAGAATACCTCAGCAAAGCCAATGTGACTTTTAACTTCCACAGCCCACCCAGCTCCCCAAAATGGATGCCCGTGGCCCCGTGCCTTTGCACCTTCTGACCTCGCATTCCGCGTCCAGGTTAGGTAGGTAGGTACGGAGTACCTCAGGAGGCTTTTGGTTGTTTAGCGTCCAGAATTGGTCACGCGTCCATGTGAGACTCTCTCAATCATCAACGCAGGTTGGGTCATGGTAAGCCAAACGAGTAAAGCAACCAAAAGAAAACTTTGTCACGCAATTTTCTACCTCATCAGTGAAGGAAGAGAAGGAAAACCCCAGAGTCGTTTGAAAGTGGTCAGTTACGCATTGGTCTCATTGAGTCGGACGAGGACAGCAAAGTCGCTCCAACCTTGCGTGGAGTTTGATGTAGGCCTTGCAAGCGACATCATTCAGAACCACACTATCATCAGTTATTCTCGACATCAACCTGCCCGCTGGGATCCCCACATGGTACACCATAATGGGATTCATCTTTCGCTCCAGACCATTGGCCGCAATGATATGGCACCGCGGGGAGGATAATTGTCACTTTCAGCAGACAGAGTTAGTTGTCATTGCGTATTGTATTACTCTTCGTGTATAGGTATCTCATCTGTGGCTCCATCCCACGTGCTCCCCTACTTCTTTTCCTTGGGCTTCTTGTCCTTGATGTTGTTGTAATGGTGAACCCCCATTTCCTTATCTTTTGCCAGACGCTCCTCATCTTCTTTGCTGAGCGGCACGCCTTCAATGCTCTTCACTTTCTTACCCTCGAAGAACATCATCAAGCCTCCTATGGCAGCCGCCAAACAGGCGAGCGCAACGAAAAGACCGGTGGACCAACTGGGTCGATCGAATCTGTTCATTCCCCACATGAAGCCTGAGAGAACACACTGCAAGAATGTGTTCCACACATTGAACCAGATGACAAAGTCCATTTTCCAGATTGCCGTTGGGGGTGCTCGAACTCCAGTGAGGGGTGCGTTTGGAATAGCTTTCTCGGGGTGCGGGATATGCAACACAGGCCGTTCGTTTGCCAGCTCCGCGACGTTTTCGGGGCCAATGTGGACGGGGAGTTGGTCAGACCCGGGCAAACGGAACCATCCGCGGTGTATACCCGCAAGCCGGCCAAGAGCTTCAGGTTTCTTCATGATGCGATATTGCATCAAAAAGTATAAATCACGGAATCTCCATGGTGCTAATCCGAAACCTGTCACGCAGAACAGAGCGTTCAGAATCTGCGAATCCCATTCGATCCATTTGCGCCGAGGAGAGTTGATGTCATTGCATGTCGGATAGCACATGGCCGGGGAAGCATTGCAAAGTAGCAGAAACAGCATGCCGCCCCAAGCAACGACGTTCAAGCCGTAGAGAACGACAAAGAAGCCGAGGGGCGTGCAAGTGTAATTCCAGAACGCTTTTGCGCCAATCTTCATGGACTGCGACTTGGTGTGGGCGGGTGGGAAGTGGTAGCCGTTGTCGTAGGGTTCGTACAGTTCGTGCTCTGCGGTGGCCACAGTAGCGGAGGCGGCACTAGTTGGTATTCTCCCTTCGACATCTTGTTTCTTGTCTTCAGTATGATTGTTGTTGTTGCTGTCGGAGAACTTCGTCTCGGTTGTGGATTGATCGGAATTAGGGTGGTCCAGGGGCGCGTTCCTGTCCTTCTCGCTGCTGTCCAGCGAAGAATCCTGGCGAGACATTGCGGCGGATTCTAGAAGATTTCGGTGCTGTGTGATGTACAGGCCTTTGGGGCCTTCGGTCCCTCGAGACGTATTTCCGCTGCTGAGCCGGAAAGAATAGCAACGTGTTTCGGTATAGCCTGCTGTAGATTGGTGCAAGTGCGGTGTGTGTTTTGTACAGACGGTTCCCGAGTTTGTTCGAGTATCTGATGCTGGGTCGAGTGCCGGCTAGAATGATTGACGACGATTCGACAAAATAGCGTAGGAAAGAAAAGTCTGGTGCGGTAGGTCCTACTCGAAGTGGGTTTGTCGAATCACGATATGCCGCTGGTATTGTCGTGGTGAGATGAACTATTAAGGACTAACACAGCAACCCGCAAGACCGAGTAGTTGGCAGAGAACTGTTCCCAGGAAGCCGCGACGAAAACCGGCGGGGGTAATAAAGGGTGTCTTTGAATATCCGTCCTAGTCAACAGACATAGCAGGTGGCGCGGCGTGGGAGGGGATGAGTGCTTCGGAGAATTGAATCAAAAGAGATAAAATAAAACAGGGTACGGCGAGTGTCAAAGACGTGTGATGTGGGGGTCGATATCGAAAGGTAAAAAAAGAAAGCAGGAGAAAAGGAAGAGGAGCAAGCCACAATGATGAGCCAGGGTGGGAGGATATAACAAAGTGTCAAAGAGTTTTTGGGGGAAAGAAACGGGCTGAGTCTAGACCTTGAATGGTGGAAAGGGGCGGAACATGCGAAATGCGTAATAGAATTAGACGCTAATAAGCACCGACCTTGGGAAGGAAGATTGGACTTCCATTGATGGACGGATGGACTCCCCGTTAATGCCTGCCCTGCTGGATGGTACGCCTGTGCCTTGAAGGAGGGGCGGCCCAAGTACTCCGTCCAGGCGTGACAGGCTGCTTCATTGTCAGTCTGTCAGAGACTAGAGCCCGTTTGCCGTGGGCTACGGCCAATAGTCGGTGGTCCGCATGGAAACGCTGGTGTCCATCTCCAGTGATCTGGGGGCAGGAACCACTAAACAGCCGTCGCAAATCTGGACCCTTACGTCAATACGCGTATGTTGGACCGGGAACACACTTTGTTAGGTACTTTGCTCGACCACAGCCACTGCAGAATGTGTGACAATACGCGCAGTGAGGTCAGCGACACAAACACACAACCTGCCTCTAGGTACGTACTCATGACGGGATCCGAGAGGGATGTGCACGCATTTGCCCCAAACCTTGGCTGCTGGTTGGCTCGCATTTCGGTCGGTTACGTAGGTTGACCAGGATTATCAGAAGTGGACCGTGTATGCCGATGAGCTGTGCTTTGCTCTGTCGGTTTTGTCTCAACTCTCAAGGGCATTCAAATTTGAGTTGCCGGCCTGCCGATGGAGTCGCTCAGACATTCAAGCTCCCACATTCTTGTATGAATGACGATTACCACTATAGCTCTCACTTTCAAGTGGTCGGGAGAGAGGTACAATATCTTCTGCTCAGGAATACCGCAGAATGGACCAATATTGCATTCATCGACACCAACCATTCCATTCTTGATTCAAGCGAGACAAGCCAATTATGACGGGTAGAGAACCGTTGCTGTGTGCCTGGCTAATAAAGATCTGCTTGGCCCGGGAGAAACAACACGAAGATGCACAAGCCTCAGAGCGGGGCTGAGAATGGGAAACGTAGGTGTGGCTTTGACAAGGCATGGATGTTATGCACACTTCGGATCGTTTCGCTCCTTATTTATGACGATGACCACATCCACCCGACAGTGAAGTTGTGCTGGACTACCTTAACTACAGGTGAGTAAATCTGTCAGGCCAACCGTTCTCGTATGCTCCCGCCTGCATCCAAAGGCTAGGTCGGGTGGTCGGTGTACACAGGTAAAGTATCCGTAGGACCTAACATTATTGAGATACTGAAAGTACGGGTAGATGCCTACTAAATCCGATGGGCTCTGTGAAGTGCCTGGGGCAAATACAGCGGACGACTCATGGAAGAAAAAGCATCGGTACATGCATGAAGATGTTATTCAATATATATGCACATATCGAGGACCCAGCGAGTTGTTGGCCAATTGGCATACAGGCAATCTTGTTGTAGCCACTCACCTTGAGAACCTTGAGAACTCTTCAACGACAACCGCAACAACTTCATCGGTGACTTTAGTCTTCCTAAACACCCATTACGCCCTAGAAACTTCATTCCTTCAACACCTCGTCCCCGATTGACCAGCGGCAATGGCAGCCGCAGAACATCTTACCAACCTTACCGATCTGGTCCTTGGCAACCTTCGAGATCAACATGACTGGACTGATGTCGAAGTTCGGAGTGACGGGACAAGCCGACCGCGTCCCATCATCACCGGCCTCCCGCCTAATAGGCTGTACATACACCCAGACGAACAAATTGAGGCTTTAGAGATGGAACAGACCGCCGGCAAGCGCTCGAGCCAGGCCCCCGAGTACGAGTGGGTTCTCCCAGTGCATCTGAGCGAACAATGGACTCTCAGCTCTTTTGCTACAATTTTTGACTCCATCGACACTCTGCCACGAGAACTCGATCCAGCAAGCACCATCGACGGACCCCAGAAGCGGGATTGGCGTGGCACAGGCCGTCAAAAGAGGCTACTCCTTGCCGTGGTCCACGATGATTCGACAGTGTCTTATTACCTCATTCATGATGGTATTGTCAAGCCAAGACAGAATTAAGGCATTGATCCTATGTCTATCTCAACGTTCCATCGTCGCAACCACAGCCTCCATACTTCCCCTACTGCCATGTTGAGTAGGGAGGCGACACCCTTCTCACTACGAGTTTTGTGCTCTCAAAATTAAGGAGTGAAGATAACCTTTTGGACCTTCATCTGATCGAACAATGCATATCCCTCAACCGCCTCGCTCAATGGCATGATGCGGTCGAACATAAACCTAACCAACGTCAGTTCCCGGACGAGGACAGGCATTGAGGGCGCGAATTTGTGCTTCAATGGCGCAGGAATAACCCTAGCCATTGGACATGGTCAGCACTCACCCAAGTTTGTCCTGCTTCTTCTCCAAGAGGGCGAGAGCCTCGGGGAAGATGGCCCGGACAGGACATCGACCCATCTGCAGCCTCAGGTTCTTGCTATGGAGGCAGTCAGCACCCTTCATGCCACCAATTCTCCGAATAATTGTCAATATCACACTCACCCATACGCTTCGGTACCGGTCCATGGAATCTAATCATGTGTCAGCAAAGCGAATCGCAGCTTCAAGCTTAAGATCGATACGAACCTCGCCATTGTGGACACCAATGCTAGCAATGACACCAAATGGCCTGATGATGTCGAAGGCAGTTCTGAGAGCTGGGCTCAGACCGACAACCTCAATAACGACATCAGCTCCACGGCCATCAGTCACCTCCTTGATCCGCTTCTCCATGCCTGCACGATCAGTCTTGAAGTTCAAGGGCTCGGCTCCGAGACTTCTGGCAAGCTCCAGGCGACTGTCTACGCTGTCAATGGCAAAAAGATGCTTGGGACGGTACTCGAGCGCCGAAATCACGGCACAAAGGCCGACGGGTCCGCAACCAATGACAACGGCGGTGGCATTTGATCTTTCTTCTTCCTTGAGCAAGTTGAAGCCAGATTTGGCGCCGAAGAAGCCGGTGGGGAAGATATCGGCCATGAGAACCAGAGCATTGTCAGAGATGGTGGTTGGGGCCTTCATGGCGGTTCCATCGGCATCAGGGATACGCACGTATTCGGCCTGACCGCCATCCAGTGCACCGCAACCAAAGAGCTTGCTACGAGCGCAACGGGATGTGTACCCGTTCTTGCAATAGAAGCATTTCATGCTAGAGAACCATGTTGGAGGTTTATTTCGGCATGGGAGAATGAAGAAGACTTACCACGATGAGGTGAAGGGGGAGACAACCCTGTCACCAATGTTCAAGGAGGTCACAGAGGCGCCCTTCTCGACAATCGTACCGGTGAACTCATGGCCCATGATGAAGCCTGTCTCGGATGGCTGGTGGCCGCGGAAAACATGCAGTTCTCTGGGATGTGTGTGAGAAGAGAGGAAAAGGAGCACAGTGGACTAGGGAGTGCCTCACGAGCCGCACAGAGCCGTTGCCTGCACCTTGACAATTACGTCGCCATCGTCTCGCACTAGGGAACTGGTCAGTGACAACTGAAGGCTGACATGAAGCTCATCGGGGAGCAGAAACATGTACAAACGGACCGGTAGGAATGGGGCGTTGCTCGACGGATACAGATTGCGGTCCATTGAATACAACGGCGCGCATGGTTCCTGAGGTAGACATTGCGGGGGGTTGTTCGGGTAGATTTGGAACTGGATCACAGTGAAGGCGTTGATGGAGATACGAGAGCTCTCGGATGAGAATGTTCGAAAATCCCCAGGGGTTGTGGCAATCTAAGCAGAGGTAATGAGGAGCAATAAGAAGCCGAGGCACGCAGCCAGAAACACAGTCGTATTGGTCCTCGGTGATGTTGGATGATGTGGTGGTGAGGTGTGGTGAGGCACAGTTTGTATGCACGCCGGGCCAATCACCTCGCCCCCGCTCCCAATGCCGCTCATCGGAGCATCACTGTGCGAGTGAATGTGTACACAGGGCGGGCAGTCGACGTGCACGAATAGAGATGAAGTGAAAAAGAGGAACAAAATCTGCCTACCCCGCGCAATTACCTAAGGCAGTTTTGTATCGGAGCAATTCGCGCTTCGCCAGACAAGGCGTGGGAAGTAAGGTAAGGTAGGTGACGGAGGGGACACCTTTCATGGCAGCGAGTGTTGTAGCGTGAGACCGATGAGGCATATTCTGAGTACGGTTTCTCGTTAGAGCTCGAGCAAAAAAAGGAAAGAAAAGAAAAAGCAGTTAGGAATGACAAGTGCGGATCGCAGGGTAGAGGTATGCAGGGCTACGGTCGCTCTGCTCTGTGCGGATATAAGTCCTACGATATGATGTCTGACCCGATGATGAAGAGGTTATTCAACAACCCCGAGATCTCGAGGACTATCTCAAAACAATAGTGTTCAACAGTATTGAGTAGATGCTGCAATAATGTGATTATTCGTTATGCAATTGTGTGGTTATTTTGCTTCTATTTTTTTTTAGGGATTTTTTTGCCCATTAACTTTTAAGGGGCAGAGGCGCAGACGATATGATGTCTGACCGTAGCCCTCTATTTAATGCGTCAGATTGTTCATCGTCAAAGAGAGACAGAGATGGAAAATCCGCGTTGACGAAAATCGCAGAGGGCGTTAGGTTGATGGCTGCGGCTCATATTGATTGGCTTGGCGGGCAAGAGAAGCACGCTGCGTTAGATCTAAGTTGACCTGCCGCGGTCCCGAGTTTAAGAGCCCGGCACCGCAATGACAATAAAACACAGGGATATTATTTATGCCCAGGAGAGAGTCTCGCGTTATTTGGGCGTTATTTGGGCCGATGTCCAATGAGGCTTCCGACAAAGTACCTGCGGATAAGGTAGGTAAGGTAGTGCACATGGCCAATGGACCTACACTGCGTACACCCCAAGTGGAAAGTTGACAGGCCGGCCGTCTGACAGCTCACAACCTCGAAGAGGGTTGGAATGGTTGGCGCATTCTAGAAACTTATTTTGGTTTTCTGTCTACTCGGTACCTACACTACACTACCGTACCTAGGAGTGTCTAGGGTTGGTGGGCGATGGCCCTGCCACCCTGAGCCAGATCCCCCGCTCGTACGTGCCACCACCTCTGTCCAAAAACCGGGGACCACTTTGCTGAAGAACCCCTCGTCTGGGGTAAGACGGGTAAGGTAGGGGACAAAAGTCCCTCTTGTCGCCGGTCGGGGAACAGAAGACGCCCTGGGATGCCGACGTCTTGGCCACACAAGACGACGTGACGGGCCTACAAAGTCGGTTCGGTCCTGTTCATATTGCTTGAGTAAAGAGAAAAAAACTGCATCTTTTTCCGTTGGTATTTGGTGTAGTGATGGTGTCTATTGTGGTGACAGATGGACGATCCTTAAGTTGCCTTGAAGTACCTATGCACTCAGGTATACCTTGAGTTGGGAAGGGACGGTACCTAGGTAAGGGAAATACCGAGCCCAAAGTTTTCATATTACATCCGACACCAAATGTAATTTAGCAACTACCAATTCAAGAACAAACTGGTGCCATTTTCTTGTCGCAATTCTGGCATGTCATTATTTCTTCTATCTTGCGCATGGTGTCCTGATTCTTGCAACGTGAGGTAGTGAGGAGACACTGAGCTGAGCTGGGTGGAATGTTGTGACTGGTAATGGCCCAGTGTTAAGGTAGCTCTTCCATCCCAATGAAATCCAAAGAGAAAGGTATAGGTACTTGACTCCGCAAATGAGAGAAGTACCTCTGGCGAAAAGAAGGGTCCCCTTGCTTGACCGCCTTGAACTTGGCCAATAAAACAGCCCGAGTCAAGTGGTCCTAGGCCGATTGCATTGGTATAGATGATTGAGGCTTAGAGGCTTAGCGGCTTGGATGCATGGATCAATCGTGGGCAATGGTGGCATGGCAAGGAGGGCCCTAGACCATCCTGGCGAATGATTGGACAGACCAAAGGAAAGCGGGTACCGTCTAGGTTGATGCAGCGAGTGACAGGTCTTCGATGGGAAGTTGGTGAGGGGTTAATGTTGGACTTGGCTTCCACCTACACCACACTACATACTGCGTAGGTCGGAGAGGAGCACATCGAGTGTGGGGTAATAACGAACGATACGGTATCTACCGACCTGCCGCGAGGTACTGCGCAAGATATACGCCCAAATAGTTGCGCACCAGGCCGAAATCTTGCCCGATCTGCACCATTCTACCTAAGCAGCAGACGAGAAATATTCCGGCCGATCGGTTGATTGAAGATGGGGCAAGGTTTGAGTTGTCGAAGCGGGAGGGGGACAGGATAACAGAAAGAGAAAATAACAATCACCCACACCTGGGATTGCTGAGCAGAGTTCGAACTTGCAGACCAATGAGGTGAGTGTGGTTAGGAGCAAGACTAACGCGCGGGGATGGCTCAACGCCGTCAACGGATGACTTGATGTTTTGGTCAAGTGTTTGTTGATTTGGACACACACAAACAAAACCCAACCACACTTCCAAGCGCCCTCTGGGCCCAAATCGTTCCATTTCAGTCCCACGATCTGTATCTTCTCAAACAAAGGCTGATTTGCCACGGCACTGCAATGCGGCTATTTGGAAAAGCTGTTTTACGGAAACATTGCCGGAGCATTGCACAAGAAAATGAAGACCAAGAAAGGGTGGGTGGACGGAAATCGTCAGGTGTGGTGGTGACTCGTGAAGTGATCCAGAGTGTAGTGTACCCATACGGAGTACTACGTGCCTCAGAATAAGGTCCCTAGGGCTTCCAAATTCCAGCTTGGGCCTGGCCCGACGGCGACCAGTGACCAGCGACCACCGCTGACCAGGGACATGGCCCCCATGCCTCGGATTGAGCCTCCACTTCCGTCCCGTTCGTCCATCCATTACATTGGGTGCGGCTAACTGTCATTGACATAGGTCACTCCCGCCCGTAGTGTGCAAGTTGTCGCGAGCTTGCAAATTACCCAAACCTACGCAAAGTACTTCGCCCAGGAATACAGAGCGTATGGAGTAGGTTCTCTGTCAATTGAACTGTGTGAAAAATCCACGGGCTTCATTCTCCATGTACGGATACCTACCCAAGGTTCAATGCTCTGAGGCGCCCAAGAATACTCAACCTCATGTATGGAGTACCTCCAGGTACTTCGTACGCAGTACGGATACCTGCTGTGTTCCTTGGGGTAGCCCTGGTCATTGTCAGCCCTCATTTCCTCTACGATCCATCTTGTGCTCGTCCACCAGCCACCGGCTTTCTGGTACATCCATCTTACCTTACACAGTGGTCTTGTCTCGTTCCCTCTCGCCCTTGCGCATGATGGTGTTTTCCAGTGGATCATGGACTTGCGGTGCCGTCTTTCCGCGACTCTGCATTGCTGAAAATCAAGCATGAACACAATGATCCAAGACTGACTACCTACCTGAGTGTCCTCCCAATTTCCCGAAGGAGGGAAGTGATGCTGTTTTCAAGCTGAGGTACAGTGAGATGCAGAAGGGGCACAAAAGTAAGTAGTGCCGTGGGAATTTCCTTATCCGATGTTATTGCTGGGTTTTGCTAGGTACCTTACCTTACGGAGAGGACATGGAAGGATGGCTCTCCCCTCTTTCTCCAAGTTTTTTCCATTGTGATAATACCTACTGCCATCCGATCCCCCCCAGACTGTTCCATCCCATCTTGATTGACCCTTACTCCGTAATCGACATGAGGTACCAGTACTCCGTTCCCTTCTGCCCATGCATGGACGGAGTATACGCTAGTTTCCAAGTCCCCTCCCATGGAATGAAGGCTCCCCAATCCGCCTAGTGTTCCCGCCGCGGTATTCATATCCTTGAGCCCCTCAACAGGCGTCTTGGGTGCGTGCCTGAGTGACCATTGATACTGGGTGACAATCTGACAAGTGTAACATGGAAACCAGCTCTCTCGGCTGCTTGTCACAATGTCACTTGATCAGACTAAAAACCCTCTCTTTCCCCGCCTTCTATCACGCCCCCGCGCTCAACACAGATAAAGCAGTGCATACTTTGCAAATTTGTGGGAAAACTGCTGGTCCAGGTTCTTGGTAAACTGTTAGCTCGGCGCTGAATCGATCCTGGGTCGTTCCTTGCCGAGATAAGCCCATCCGGCATGCCTACGACCGCGAAGAAAGCCGTCGGCGCCCAGTCAGGACCGTAATGATGCTCGGAAGGTGCTCAGGTCGGTAGCACAGGAGTGCGACGAAAATATACCAGACTTGGCAAAATGATACCCTTGTTGAACAAGGCGCCGTGTCTTTTCAGTGAACATGAAATCGATAAAGAGGCACGTCAATCTTGCTCTTGCACGTCTCATCGCATGAGGCATTCCCGCTCTTCAGCCTGCCTGGTAGCGCAGCCAGCCAGTGGATGCTCATAGCAGCATTACCCTAGTGGTCTCTCGGAACCGGTGTCGTGCCTCGCCTTTCACAGATCAAACACGCTTCCCAGGCCTGGAAGTGAGGCGCAACGGGTAGGCACCTAAGGAAGGGGCCGGGAACGAACGAATGAGGAAGACAGAGACAGAGACAGGGAAAGAGAGAGAGAGAGAGAGAGAGAGAGAGTAGAGAGAGAGAGAGAGAGAGGAACAAAAGTAGAGAGGGAAAGAGATGGAGAAAGAGGCACAGAGAGACTGGGCAAGACTGCGGAGGAGGCAGGGAGGGCGGCTGAGAAAGGGGACAAGGTACGTAGACTTGCACTTACTGCCCGTGTAGCACCTCCGAAATATCTCCTAGGACCTAAGGCATACTACTTGTCTCTGGGTACCTGTACTTTCTATTATGTATGTAGAGTAATTTATGTACCTCGACCTATGGATCGGTGCTCCTGCGGCCTGCCTGATCTTTACTTAGCCTCATATTCCAAGGAATCCTTTCCCTTATTTTGTGCTCACAACCTTAGTAAGTATCCCTACTCTTTGAATACCCAGGCAGATACTTCCCTTACCCCGTCTTGCCGTCTGAGGTGTGCAGTGTGCCCCCAATCCCTATGCGCGCTTCCGCCCATCCCATATCCACTTTCTTGGTGACTCGGCTTCTTCATCTCTTCTCGCCTCCACGTCTCCCCCCCCCCCCTCCTCCTCCTCCCCAAAATCCGCTTTTGTTCATCGCTAGGGTCACGCGGTCCCTTGAATCTATCTGTGGCACTGGGCGAATCTCTCACACGCTTCCAAGAAATTATGCGCTAATAGTAAAGGACAGCCTTCCTCCCGCTAAATACCTAGGAGAAGCAAATGGGAGACCTTTTTGCAAAATGAACAACTCGCTCCTGTTTGACTTTGAGGTGCTGTTGTCGTTTCCCTCAATCTCTTTGCTGCTTTCATCTCTTGCCTTACCTCGTTGTCAAGATACACGAGACTGTTCATCTGTACCTCACCCATCACTCTCACTTGCCGTAGGTACGGATTCTTGACCATACCTCACCGGTACCCCGTCCGACGACGGGCCTAGATACCTACCTACCTACCTAGGTATCATCCAACCCGTCCGTCCTACCGCTTCCACTACCGCTACCGCTGCCGCTCATTCTACCTGTATTCTATACCCGACTATTGCTGACCCTCGCTCGCCCTGCCTGGTGCATCCATCTGCATGGTTGCCGTCCCTGGGCGCCCTCTTTTATCCGTCAAAGAATCACGCACCCGACTGACTCCCGCGCTTGCTCCTCATTCTCCCCACCCCCCCTGCTCGAGGCCACACCGACCTCCGTCTTTGACATCCAAACGTCGCCGCATCCCATCCTCCAACTCCCGGCCGCCCTCCATCTTTCAGTCCGCTCTCCCTCCAAGTCCTCCCAACTACACCTGCATATCACCTTCTCGACTCCCTCATCGGCTGCTTTCTTCCGGAGTCCACGACGGCGGCGATAGCTGTCTCGGGGCCGACTTCTCGCGACGCGCATCACCCCCTCCATCACTTTCCGACCTCATCGTCCTCGAAGCGACGCTGTCTTTGTCGCTCCCCTCGGCCCCAACAGCTGCCGCCTTGCGCAAAAAGGGAACATAACAGCGCAATCTACTGATACCCCTTGGCGTATCGCGACAATCGTCTTTTTTTTTCTTTTTTTTATTACTGTCCCCTCCAAACTCGACCCTCCTTCGCCGCTGCTGCCGCCAGTGTTACGACAACCATTGTGGCCGTCTCTGTCGCCAGTCACCCGTCGTTGCTACGACCCTTACTTCTCAACTTGCCCCATGGCGGCTTGATATCGCTTGCGCTGTGAGCCACGACACTCTCCGGTAGCGACAACTATGACTGCGTCGGCTGTTCAAAGCCTCCTGCACCATACAGCTGCGAGCGACTGTTACGACCCCGATGACGTTCTCCCTCACGATAGCCCCCAAATGCAAGCTCACCGCCCCAGACTACAGCCCTCACCCAGTCCTCCGCCTGCTCTGAGCCCTAGCCGAAAGTCACTCCACGGTCGTCGCAAGGTCGAGCCCATTCAAGGCGATGCCGTGTTAGTGGCTCATCTCGGAAACGGCCGACAGCCAGACGTCGCCCAGGCCGCCGCTCTTGAACCCCTTGCCTCTGACAACGGATCCGAATCCGAGTCTTCTTCTCCAACCTCTCCTGAGCGCGACATGAATAAATCAAAGGAACCTTTCGATCTCAAGATCCTCGCTGCCGGCGCCTTAGCTTTCACTTCACCTGGTGCTCCCGAGCCCTCTGTCCCGGTTACCAATCCCACTGCTGGGGCACTCAAAATCGATCAGTCGCGCTCGGGAGAAAGGCACCGGGTTCAACATGAGGCACTGCCGTTAGGACCCGGCAGCCGGGAGTTGCCCATTCGCGATGATCGGCCAAGTTTAGGCTTAGCTGCCCCAGCCGTTGTTTACTCTGCCGGGGACAAGTACACTTCTCGCCGTTCCGCACCTAGTCTTTGCCAGGCCGAGGTCACGTCCCCGATGAGCCCTCCACAGTCTGCGCCCAGCGGTCTTCCTCCACTTCTGGACTCCCCCAAGTCTGATGGCAGCGGTCATGGTCCATTGCCATCTATCAGATCACAGCTTGGGGACTTGCAGCGCCTGGCAGATACGGCTAGAAGTCCTGAGCATGATCTGGGTTCTGCGCGACACACAGCTTCATATCCCAGGTCGCCACCAACCAATATGCCCCGACTACCCTCGCTCGCTGGGCTCCCAATCGGCCATGCATCACCTCCGATCTCGCCCAGTGAAGGCTTTCGTAGAGACCACCCATCGCCCGCGCACCCTCTAGCCGTTGTCAGTCCCTACTACTACACATCTTCATCGAGCGGTGGCCATCAAAGACAAAGTACCGACTATAGTAGTGGTACAGCAGAAACCCCAAGCACTGATCAGACTGCTTCAACGCCCGCTACGTCTGTAGCAGACCGCATGAGCATCGACGGTCTTACGAATCCTCAGGCAGGTTATGTCTGCACCTTCTCGGGTTGCAACGCGGCACCATTTCAGACGCAGTACTTGCTCAACTCGCATGCGAATGTTCACTCATCTGCTCGACCACACTACTGCTCTGTCAAAGGCTGCCCTCGGAGCGAGGGCGGCAAAGGGTTCAAGAGAAAGAATGAGATGATCAGGCACGGGCTTGTTCACGAGTCCCCGGGATATGTATGCCCTTTTTGTCCTGACCGAGAGCACAAGTATCCTCGGCCAGATAATCTTCAGAGGTAAGATGATTTCCCTACGGTTATCATACATCCTGATCAACTTAAACCCCCGACAAATTCGTCGTCGCTGTCAGGCAACTGATTTCCGGATGGGGACTCAACTAATCGAGTATGCAGGCATGTCCGGGTACACCATGTGGATAAAGATAAGGATGACCCTGCTTTGCGGGATGTGCTGTCACAGAGACCAGATGGGCCAAATCGCGGCCGACGACGCAGAGGAGGACCTGTCTAGTCGGCTGTGCAATGTGCCAGCTGACACTCTTCACGTAAATACTTTTTTCTTCTCCTTTCCTCTTTCCTGGGCTGTTCAGCACCGACGACGTCTTGTCAATATGTCGGTATGAGCACGCCGAACGAGGTTTATTGTACATATTTGATGGATATTCGGAGCGACCGGATATCACTGTGATTCTTGGTTCTCTTTCTTCCCCTTCTTCTTTTGTCCTGAGAGGAGGAGATGAGCGAAGATTGGCAAGGTCGTTGACGCCAACCTTTCGTCGGTTGTGGGATTTCTATGGTCGGGGGTTTCATTTTTCCCTTGAATCTTGCAGGAGGCGGTTGTCTTGGGCTGGTACTTGTTTTTGAGCTTGTTTGATTTGGCACGGCACGAGTTCATGACGGGGGATTGTTTCTGCCTTTTTGTTGCGAGGATTCTGGCGTTGCGGTGGATCATATACCACATTGACGAGTCGTCCGCGTCACGTCACGTTTTGTCCCTTTTATCTTTCTCGCGGTATTCTCTTCTTCCTCCTTTTCGCTTCTCTCTTGCTTGGTGGGTGGTGACTGGCTAGGAAAATGCCACCAACTCTCGAACTGTCTTTCACAAGAGCCGACATAGCCATTGTCTTCGATTAAAGCGGCAATTCATGGGAAGATCCCTTTTTTATTTTTGGTACTCGGGCATCTACTTGGCTTGTGGCTTTTCTCCTTTGCTTTTGTCTGCTTTTCAACCTGTCTACCCGAAAGATGGGCAAAAGAGGGAGGAGGCAAGGGAGGAGGCGGAGGAGGCGGAAGGTGAGGATTAAGGAGAGGAGGCATCGCCGATTCGTAGTAAATTCTATGAGCAGGGCTTAGGTACCTACCAGGCCATTACAATTTCGTCTTATACCTGTGGCGACCAACAGAAGCCTTCGGCTAGCCTCTCACCCGTGCCATGGCTACTAGGAATCGGCCATTTGCCAGCCGCCAACGTGAACAGGGTTGTCGCTCAAAACCTCTACCTCAATGCTCTGACGACCCTGCTGACTCCCGAGCCGTTCCACAATGAGCCATAGTTTGTCTTGTCGAAGACGATCGGGCTCTAGGTCGAACTCGGGGGTCCTGATAGCCATCGTCAGTTCCCGGAATTCGCCGCCGCCTGACATGGCGAGTATCGACTCCTGCGGCCCTCGGCCGTAGACGAGGGAGACGCGAACGGCCGTGGTAGAAATGGGCTGGCTACTTCGTCCCGTCTGCAGCGGGCACCGCGCCACGACTTGGGCCCGAGACAATCGCGATACCGTGACCAACGCTCGCCTATTCTCCTCTCCTTCGCTGAAGATGAAGGCTGGCGCCAAAGTTCGTAAAAGGCCGGCTCTGTCGCTTAAAACGGGTTTGATTTGACATTCCACCTGAGACCCTACGCGCATGCCAAAGTCGGCAAGCTGCCCCGGCTCCCACGTCGAGCACACAATGGTGTACGTGCCCGGTTCCACCAGAGGGACTTGAACAAGAGCGTTGCCTCTCCGGTAGTCGCCAGAACTAGCCACAACATCCTTTACCCCGATCGACGTCACTCTTCTTCCGTGTGCCCATACCAGGTCGACGTGAATGGCTACCTCTCGGTCTCCTGATGAGAGAAGTATGGAGAGGGGTGTGGCTCGGGCAACAGAGATGCTGAACTGCGGATTTTGGGAGTAGGTGATGGACGACGCATTGCCTCCAGCAGTTCTCCTGGTCCAAGCACTCGACAGCTCTTGATAGTGGCTCATGGCTTCCTCGGCTGGCTTGACTTCGAGTGGTGCCTTTGAGAAGAGAGTAAACGTACACGAGTATTGGTCCAGCGGGAGGTCTTGATGGGCCATGACAATGGTGTAGGGTGTGCCGTTGCGAAGTTTGAACTTGGCGAGCGTTTGTGGCGAGTCAACATATGGGCCTTGGTAGACAAAGCCCTCCCTCACCTGAACCTTTTTGCCTTCGCTCTCGAAGATGAATATGCTCGTGAAGCCGAGTTGTCTCGATACCGCAGCCAGGGAAGCTGATTTGTTCTTTGCAATCTCCAGTTCCTCATCCGCAAAGTGCCGACTCAGCAGAATCCATACGGTCTGTTCCGTATGTGATAGTACTGAGTATTGCGGGTTGTGGGCAAGAGAGGATGTCATGTTTTTGGTGGGCACGCGCCACGTGAAGTGGTGATCCTGCCTATGTGTGAATAGATCCGGATTCCAGTTGAGATACATGGATTCAAAGTTCTGCGCAACGTCTTCCACTGATATCCAGAAGGAACCGACGGGTCTGGTATGCTCGGAAGACCTTGGCTCGATCGAGAACAATGTGTCTGATAACGACACGGCGGCCGTTTGCTCAACGATTCCAGATGAACCAACGCCTTTCCAGACGAGGCCATCACACCACGGGTTTTTGACAAGTAAGCGACGGGCCCCGGGCGAGCTGTCGATCTCCAACACGGCATAGTCGTGCTCGCCAACAAGACCCAAGGCGTCTTCTTCCGATTGGGTCAAGCGACCGGTTCCTAGGGTCATGATCAGATTCCCAGCATGGTATGCCTCTTTGATGGAGTCCCATTCGCCCTCAACGTCTACATCTTCGCTACGTCTTGGCGTTAGTCCTCGCCGATTGTCGTCTCGCCCTGGACCGGGCTTCATCTACATACCTCTGTAAGAAGAGCTGTTCGGGAATCCACCCGGTGATTACCCATAAATCGGTGCCCGAATTGCTGCCAGGGAAGTCGTACCCTCCGCGTACCTTCAAATAAGCCTTTTCCAGCAAAGCTGGCCACAAGAGATTGGGGTTCTTGCGGTCGACAACGAACAAGGTGCGATTGTTTCGCGAGACAGGCAGCCGATCATCCACGACGACTTGTCTGAAGCAGCCATTAAAGTGCATGCGAAATATGTACTTGCCACTCTTGGAGATCATGGGCCGCCCCTTTTGGTGATTGTAGGGGTACATGATTGAGCCTAGAATCTGATCAGACTGGTAAGCAGGCGCGGTCAACGGCATTCTGCGTACCACTATTGACTGACTGATTGTTTGCTGCCTTGTAGAATCTTCATAGCGGCACATAGACTGGCTACAACCGAGCAGTCGGTCGTGACATCCTGTACGAGATCGCAGTCGCTTTCTGAGGCCATAAAGTCCTCGTCTACGGTATCCTCTCTCGCTTGGTCCACGGGCCGTTGCCAGGCCTCAAGAATGGATTCTTGCCTGGCCGACATTGTGTACTCTGCAGGGTCTCTAATTTATGAATGAGTTGGCTGACTGATTCGGCGGTTATGCAAACGTACGAGAAAACTTTCTGGCCCTGAGATAGGGAGAAATTGTCAACACCAGGCTCAGCCTGCCATGGCGGGAAAATGTTGCCATGCAGTCGAGATGAGCGCAGCAGGATGGTCCTCTCGTTGGATGGGACATGGCGCACATGGCAGCTAGGATTGGACGTAGAGGTGATGGTTGCAACTGTCGGCTGAGCCAAAGATGGGCTTGCGGTCTTGGGAGAAGACTTGAGCTTTTCGGCAAGAGAAATGAGTCCTGCGCACTTTCTCCTCAAGCGAGAGCGGTCGGTTGGTGAAATAGCTTCGTGTGCTGCCTTCATGTACAAGTCGGCCGCGGTAATGGCATGATTCAACGCTTCACGGTCTGTCGATCTGGCCACAAGGGCCTCCTCTCTCTGAAGGCCGAGGTCATTCTGGTCAGCTGAGGCGAATATTTGTGCTGCGTCGCGCCGTGACTTAGAAATTCACTCACAATGGCTTTGGCTTCCATGCTTCCAGCTAATAAGCAGCTAATTGAAACTGCATTTAGTCGTTAATGTGAAGTCAAGGCAAGAATACCGGTTGCGCGACGGGAATTGATTCAGGGAAACTAGCTTCATGTACAAAGAGGCGGAAGCAGGACCTACTGTTGTCGCATGTCGAGGTCACGAGTAAGGTAGGTAGGTATTCGATGCGATGAGACCCGACACGGCGGGAAACGAGGCGAGATTCGAGAAAAGCGAGTGGAGCGATGACAGGTCGAGTAGAATGGCTTGCCTTTGTTGGTCGTGCCTCTTTAAACAGCCTCTGGCTCACTCCCTGATCACCGCAACTTCTGACACACACACACACTCTCTCTCTCTCTTTCTCTCTCTCTTCAATATTGACTCTGATTCCAGACCCAATTTTGTGTCGTTGTTATCATGGGCGCGGGCGATTGTGGTTAAGAATGGGCGCGGGGAAGCAGTCGCAGTCTTAGCGTGAAATGCATTCGTCGTGGGGTAAGACGAAAGAGAGCGGGCACCAGATTGAGGCTGTGCAAAGCAAAACCCAAAAACGGTCCAGAGTCGGTCGGCCAAGGGCCGGCCAAGGGCCGGCCAACTTGAAATGTTGAGACGGACCCTGGGTAATTGCTCTCGAGACCAAGCCTGCAAGAAGCAAGACAGCCAGACTTTGTCGACGAGATCGGAGCGCAAGAGCGCAGAATCGCATGAGAGAACAGTTCAGTTCACACATCAAGCGTACCTAGTTAACTATGTTGGCAGGTATGCTGTGTTGAACCAAGCCAGGCGCCAGAGCGAGCGGAGCAAACGCCGGGGAAAGAATCAGAGGTGTCGATATCAAAGCTTTAGAATGAGTTGGGAGTGTAAGGCAGATATACCTAGATCTGGGGAGCACAGAAGGTAGTGCTCATTCATCTGTTTGCTGATGACAACAGGGCTGGACATTCTTACATAGCATTTATCAGAGTGGAATGTACAGATAGATAGATGCCGTAGAAACGCAGTATGAAGGTCCTTGGCTTGCTTGAACGATAGGTAAGGTGTGGTAAGGTAGGTGGACAGTGACCATATCTTACGTAAGGCACGTCCTGTACCCTGGGTGTTACTCGGAAACTGATCAGGACTTACACGAGCTTGCAACCTACATCATGGAGGCCGGCACCTTGGACATTGCGACACTGCACTGTTCCGTCGGTTATCGAGTTCACCTCGTCACTTTAACCCTTGGTGGGTTTCCCTTAGACGGATTCTGGCAGGAAGATGGGGGCTTCGTGTAGATAGAACATGGGCCAGGCTGGGTGCCCGCGGTGCCGTATCTTCGAGAGTGGACAGCCTTCCATACCTGGATGTGTCGGCCAAATGAAACGCTTGAAGACAGACAGGCTGTATCACCTCGGCACCGGGCCATCGCCAACCTGCCTCTCTTGTCATCCACCTCTTAACCGCTGGCCCTGTTTCCCCGGCTGCTCCGCTCTCGCATGGCCAATTTTAGCTACCTTAAGTCAAATGTCTCCGGCCACCAGTCTTCAAACCCAATTACACATTTGAATTGCGACTAACACGTTGGTACGGAACCGTTATGCTGCTTCGCAAACATTAGCTCCCCCGGGGCATTTTCTCACACAACCTTAGGTACCTTACTCCGTATGCTGCGCTGGTGCCATTGCGTGCTGTGACCAGACTCAAGGTCCTTACCTAAGTATCTTAACGGCACCTTGGTGTGCTTACCTTGATACCTGAAGGTAGCTTGTACGCAGTAGTGCGATGGTCTGTCGCTAAGAAATATTCTCTAAAGTACCTTGAGTTAGGTACTTTGTAGACATTGATTGTGCCGAAACCCCACCAGGTGACCTCACCGGTTAACCGAGCATATGGCGGCCCAGGCATCTAGCGTCATCTCCAAGGGCCGAGGTCGTCGACTCAAGTGCCAATCCCGGGACCCGCGCAGGTGCTGTGGCCGGCACGTCAGTCCCCATGGCCCATGGGCATGAAGCGGTCTTCTTAGTTTGGTTCATTCGTCCCGACCAGCGCTCAAGACCTCGAAATCATATATCTATTCATCGCCAATAACCACTTGGACCATTCTTCGCGCTCGCGGATTCTCCCAGTTGTCGCTGGTGCTCACTGCTTGTCCGCTGCTGCCTTCCGACCTGACTGACCACTTCCCTTCCCGCCCTTTGCCTCGGATCTTGATCGGTGCAGAACTCCAACCCCGACGCCGACGCCGATATCGTCACCGTTACCGACTTTGCGCGCGACGATTCCCTAGTTGTGGCCCGATTGTTCGATCAAACGCCTTACAGAGAACTCTGATCCGTGCTTCTGTTTATTGCTTCTTCAATCTGAACACGGCAACAGTACAATGGCTGCGCAGTCGAAATCGGCCTCCATCTCACCTTGGGGCAAGGCAGTTGCTGGCGCGTCCGGTGCTGTGCTTGCCAATGCTTTAGTCTACCCGCTTGACATGTGAGAGAAACGTTGCTGCCGCGATACCCACACCCTCACATTTTTGTCTTCCCTACCGCCTCAAATCCACTCTATACTGTTGTATTCTTTTATAGAGATCGCCTTGTGCTAACCTCTACTTGTTAAAGCGTCAAGACGCGCCTCCAGGTCCAAGTGAAGTCGCAATCCGGCGCAGTAGCGACTGATCCCTCCGAACCCATCGAACCCCATTATTCGTCTACCTGGGATGCCCTGAGCAAGATTGTCGCTGACGATGGCGTCAAGGGCCTTTACGCCGGCATGAGTGGCTCTCTCCTTGGCGTCGCCTCTACCAATTTTGCGTACTTTTACTGGTATTCTGTCGTGCGCGCCCTCTACCTGCGTTCTGCTAAAACTTCGGCACCCCCTTCGACACTCGTCGAGCTGAGTCTCGGAGCGATCGCCGGCGCTGTAGCCCAGCTTTGCACAATTCCCGTCGCCGTCATCACGACGAGGCAGCAAACCCAGCGCAAGACCGAGAGGAAAGGGTTTGTGGATACCGCACGGGAAGTTATCGATGGAGAGGACGGGCTGTTCGGGCTCTGGAGGGGTCTCAAGGCTAGCTTGGTGCTCGTGGTGAATCCTGCAATCACTTACGGAGCTTACGAGAGGCTGAAAGAAGTCATCTTCCCTGGCAAGAATAATCTCAAGCCCTGGGAGGCATTCCGTACGTTGTTGCATCCTCCTGGCCTGTAAGGGTTTGACTGAGCCGGGTTTGGCTGATTATGATATAGTTCTTGGTGCTGCCTCCAAGTCACTCGCAACGATTGCCACACAGCCTCTCATTGTAGCAAAGGTAGGTTTGCAGTCTAGGCCGCCACCCGAAAGGAAGGGCAAGCCTTTCGGCAGCTTCATCGAGGTCATGAACTTCATTTTGGAACGAGAGGGTGTGTCTGGTCTCTTCAAGGGCATGGGACCACAGATTCTCAAGGGCCTTCTTGTCCAAGGCATCCTTATGATGACAAAGGAGCGGTAAGCACGGTGCCATTCAATCTGAGATATGGTAAGGGTGCTAACTTAGGAATAGCATGGAGTTGTTATTTGTCCTCTTCTTCCGCTACCTCAGGACGTTGAGGTCGAAGCGGCTGCAGGCTTTTACGCGGAGTCCCGAAGTTCTTCGCAGCGCATCTGCCATCAAACCTCTTTAAAAGAATGGTAGCGACATGCATACATCTGCCTAAGCAGCCTCGTCAAGGAGCCAGTGACGGCGGGCCTTTCAACATCATGAATAGCGAAATGAGGTAATCGCTCATAGAGCGTAGACTGTAGACAGAGTCGCGGGCAAATTTGTGGACTAATCTGTATGGTAACGAGGATAGAACACGAGAGCAATGCGTGGGCACCACAAGAGGTTAGCGTGAGAGAGATGACAATCGACAACTCGAGGTAGCTAGGATAGAGTAAACCACGTTTTAGTTCCCCCGAATTTTGTTCTTACTATGTGTTTCTGCGTGTTTTGGAAATACCTAGATGAGGTACCTTGGGTTTTTCATGATGACAGCCCAAAGTGACATTAGAACATTCCAACTGATGAGAGGTAGGTATATGCCTAGGTAAGGTGAGCGATGCTCCATGCAGTCATATCGGCATTCTTGCAGTGACTTATCCGCACTGAATACCTACTGAACAGACCTGCCTTGCCCAATCATGAAATCTGAGGTGTAATGTAGTACGGATTGGAAAGTCTGACACACTGTGCTCCATTCACTCATGGAAGGACCTACCTCAGATGGTGGCGCCATGGCGCGACATGACCCAGCCACACCGTGGCTCAGCAAGTCCATTAGGGCACAGAATTTCGACCCACAACACCAAAGAGCCTAGCATGCACCAAACCACCCCACGGCCAGCCTCGATATCACAATACTCGAAATCCCCCCGACCGCATCACGAACTCCAGGCTTTAGTATTCAACGTTAGGGGCACCTTCCGACCGCAGCAATGGCCAGTATGTCACGACGATCTGTTTCTGCGAGCCTTGTTGCCCGCACCAGGAGAGCTTAGCTAATTTCTGAGCGCAGAGTCCAAGAACTCCTCGCAGCACAACCAGTCGCGCAAGGCGCACCGCAACGGGTACGATTTCAAACCTCCTTTCTAGCCCATGCCAAACGATTTCCGAGGTGTACTTTTACTGACGATTTCTCCCTTATCGTGTAGTATCAAGAAGCCCAAGACGTCGAGATACCCTTCCCTCAAGGGTACTGACCCCAAGTTCCGCCGCAACCATCGTCACGCTCTGCACGGCACCATGAAGGCCCTGGTACGAACTGCCCCAGATAACATACTACAAGGACATCGTTATTCCGACCTCCACCGCGACGCTTGCTGACAAGTTTTACAGAAGGAGCTGAAGGAGGGCAAGCGCGAGACGGCATAAACAGGAAATTGGACGCATGGTTATTGGTCTCTTCTACAGCACGGCTGCGACGCATTGGGGCATTAGGGAATTAAATGGAACTGGCAATTAGGTTGAGAGAGCCAGCAAACGAATCAACCACGGTTTAACCCTCTCGGAACCTCCAACAAGCTGCGAAAATTGGGCATGTGCTGCTTCGAGGTCCGCACGATGACGCCGGCAAGAGAGAAAGAAGACTCTGCTAGGGGCATGGCAACGGAGTTATAGATGCAGCGAGGCTCTACTATGTGTCCATCAGCCGTGCCCCGATGGGTGAACTATGATGTGCCATATCAGGCCAGGTCGAGGATTACTACCAAGTACCTTAGACGAAAACCCTACGCCAACCTTCAACACTCGCCCGACATTGAAAGTGGTTAATGAAAAGCGGTCGACCCAAATATCCACAGTCCCACGGTGGCTATGTGCCCCAGTGTGCGATCCAATGTGTTCGGGTAACAAGCCAGATACTTGCTTGAGATATTCAGGAACTTGCCTTGCTACGTTACGATACTCCCCCGCAAGTCCCGGATGGCAGGTAGCCCAGCAAGTTGTGAGATCGGATCGCGGGTCTACAACTTCAGTTTCGCTACCTTGACTGTGGTACTTTTGCCTGTACCAAGGTCATAGGCCATAAATGCTCAACATGGCTTGATTGCGTCCATGGTTGAGTTGCAAGTCAGTAAGTCAATACTCATGAAGCTATTGGACCCTTCACGGCAAAGGGAGGGGCGTCAATCGTCGCCGGGGGCAAAGTCGCATGCTGGCAACTTATCCAGGCAACTCAACAAAGAACTTCAAAGAATCATCGCCGGTCACCCTTTATCCTTCACTCAGTGAGGCGTTCCGACAACTCCATTCAACGACCTCATTATATACCTACGCATCAGTGTCTATCTGATGGATCGGATTCTTGCCACGCCGTTCCCTGTTCTCTTTTTTTTTATCTTAATTTTTTTTTTAAACATGTAGACACAGGCAAGTAAGGGGATTGATAAAAAGAGCGGGGGAGACATGATGCAAGACGCGTACCTCCCTGAAGTGTATCTAAACCTAAAGTTGAGAATACCCGCCAGTTGCGCCTTAATGACTGGGAGACATGGAAATAACGAGGTCCACAAGCTGCAACCTGGCTGTTCGTGAATAGGTATGCTTCCCGATGAGGATCATTGGTACATCCGCGACAAAGACGTGTGGATTTGTTCACTGTTCCCGGTGCGATTAAAGCTTCCCATGCCTCCTCCATTGCCTTCGAGGTCGGGTACCTAAGGTACTCCTTGCGATCTATCTGAGGCAACGAAGTACCTGAGATACCTCCCAAAGAGATAGGTTTGATAGGCACCTAAGGCAACATACCTAGGCCCCTGCTGCATGCTTTACCTCAGGTGGTATGGTTGGATAAACTGCGGCCGACCAGTGACTAAGCAGCGGCCACGCCACGTTGCTGAACCCTTCTTTCCCTCCTCCCGCTCGCCAGCCGTGGTGCAGTGCAGTACATGAATGAGTACGTCTCCTGCAAATTCGAGAAGCGGATTTCGTTCCCCTTTTGTTCCCACCACCCCCTACATCTGGGTAATACTTTCAGACGACGCCAGCCTTGAACATCGTATTACCTACCTGCCTGGAAGCAGCATTTCTTGAATAATTCCTGCCCGCTTGCCAGAAGTGCATTACCTTTGTCACTGCTCTCCCACCACCCCTAAGCCCTTCCGGCTCCGTTGTCGCCGTCCACGCTCCTCGCTGCGGTAGAACACACAAAAAGCAGAACAAAGCACAACGCGACTCGCCTCAACTCCCATATCAGCAACTTCGGCTTGCGTCACTGGCCACTGTCCCTTTCGACCCTTCTCTCTCGTCATTCAACCAAAACCCAAAATTCTGGCCCGATAACCAGACCCTGCCATCCGCTGGGAGAGACATGTGTTAAGCAGCAATTCCTCCTTAGAACTAATCCCCGACTCCTTTGAGGTCAGCAGGTTTCTGCAGGAGCTTTGGGCAGCGAATACGTACCCTACGATTCACTACTTGCGCCGTCTGAGCTCTGCCGCAGCCAAAGACACGGAAAAAAAAAAAAGAACAGGCCGTTCGGGGCTATTGTCTTCACTTGAACGAACCAAGTCAACAAGTCCCTTGGGATCTCTTGACAAGCGACCGTGATCGCTAACGTGGATTTGCACCGTTTCCTGCTGTAGCTTCTGTCCGTCTCTTCCACTCTTCATTCAAGTTACAGAGTCAGAGAGGCTAGGCTTGTTTGCTTGCTGATTCGATTGACGTTACCGTCATTCGAAATCTCGAAACAGCGCTGGTCCCTCCTTGCCCGGGCCGACCCCCCTTCCATTATCACACAAAGACACGACACCCTTCACTGGTCGTCGGCATCGTTTCATCTGCCACCTGCCAATTTTCTACCGTCTTCACGACATCAACTTCGCCGCCGTCACCAGCGCGATTCCTGCCTCGCTATCATTGCGCTGACTGTCGACAATGCTCAATATGTCTGGCAGCCACATTGCGGGAAACCGCAATAGCACCCCAGAGGCCAACACAAACCCGTCTCTTCGCCCCCCCTCCTCGAGAGTTATGGGAGCCAACAGCCACCTTCGAGCTTCTGCCGACATGGCTGCGCTCTCCAACGCATCTCCCTCAAGCCGGATCCGCCCGTCGTCTGACTTTTACGGCTCTCAGCAGGGTCAAGGCCATAGTAATTCCGAGACCGATCCCCAAGACAAGATCGCCCAACAGTGGATTGCCGATATCGATCAGTATGAGACGACTTTGGAAGAAATGGCCGCTGCTACCCTCGACCAGGACTTCAAGGACGAACTGAGTGCTATTGAGCAGTGGTTCAGGGTCCTCAGCGAGGCCGAGCGCACTGCTGCTCTGTACGCCTTGCTGCAGCAGACCACCCAAGTGCAGATTCGATTCTTCATTCAGGTTCTACAGCAAATGGGCAAGGGCCATCCCATGTCGGGCGTCTTGTCCCCGGCTAACTTCGACAAAGGTACGACTGATATTACACTTCTTGCCATCCTGCTGTACGTCAGCTAATGTGTCTATCCCAGATCCAATGTCGAACCGCCTGAGCGACGCCATGAACAAGCTGAATGTTGATTCGTCCAGAAACTCCCTCGCCCGCCCCACGAGCACTGCGACCGGCAAACGGCAATCGGGACTCGACCCTTCCACCATTAACGCAATGTTTCCTGACGCCGCCGCAGCCATTGCGACCGAGAAGGCCAAGTTCACCCAGCAGACGGGCAACCCTCCCTCGTCCAACCGGAACAGCGCTGTGGGTGATTCTCGTCAGTCTATGACTGCTCCAACAATCGCGGGTCCTGCCGACAACCACGACGGCAATGGCCAAAACCAGTGGACTGGAGGCGATCAGTCGGTTCAGGGATCTAAAGCCCCGGGCGGCCAACCCCCGATGGGTCAGTTTGTCCAGCCGCCCCCGTCGAGTGGTTTGAGATCTCCTCGCCCGCCCCAGATCTCGGGCAACCAGAACATTCAAAACACCACTTTGACGACCAATGACAAGCCGGCAGACCTTCCTCTCTTGTCCCCGTACAACCCGAGTGGTGGCAACTGGGCGTCGATGGTCAATACTCCGCTCGTGGCGAATTTCAACGCCAATACCAGCGGCACGCAGGCCGACATGGTCGCAAATGCCACCGCGATGAAACTAGCAGCTTTGTCGACCGTCAACAACCGTTTCGCTCTCGATGATGTTCGCAAGTATCGCCGTGCCCGATCCAACGATGCCCCAGGTGCTCCAGGCCAGCAGGGTCTGCCTCAGAATGCGCAGATTCCCAACACCAATGTGGTCATGATCAACGAGCATGGCCAGGTGCTTAGTCGCGATCAGATGATTGCTTTGCAGGCACAAAACATGGGGTTTGGCCAACATCGATCTCGGCCCAGCTCGCCTGGCATTGCAATGCAGCCTGGAGGCTTCGGGCCTATGGCTTTCGCTTCTCCGCAAAACAATGGCTTCCTCAGCGCCTATGATGGCGCCTCTCCTCTTCTCAACAATGGCATTCCTTCAGTCAATGTGGGCCAGTTGGGAGTAGGAAATCACGAAGGTTACCTTTCAGACCACTCCGATATGGTCCGTGGCCGATCTCCCCGAGGTCGTCGGGGTAGCTCAAAGCCACCTGAAGACCCAACAGACCCGACCCTTCTTCAGGATATTCCCAGCTGGCTTAGAAGCTTGCGGTTGCACAAGTACACCGAAAATCTCAAAGACATGAAGTGGCATGAATTAATTGAGCTCGACGACAAGGCTTTGGAAGATCGTGGAGTTAACGCTCTCGGAGCTAGGCGGAAGATGCTCAAGGTTTTCGAGCAAGTGAAGGGTAGGTACTAATCTGAGCTAGCTCTTCTGAGGCACCAGCGCTAACGCCATGTGAACAGAGGCCAAAAACGATGGCAAGATTGCTTGAAAAGGGATTTGACGGTTGATGCAAGGAAGATGTGTGCGGTTGTTGTTACCCCTTTTGCCACACCACGGACACAGAGACACATTTACGCATTCACGCGCCCACAGGTCCCACTGGCCTCTGTGTTGTTGGATAGACAACAAGCATAGTAAGGGGGTACGAGCATGAAATATTGCGAATGTGTATTCAGGTAGTGGCCTGGAGGGCAGGTAAACTTCTACCATGGGTTAGTTTTCGCTCACTCTGTGCTTCTGTACATATATAAGAAGATAACACTACGTGTCCGGCTGCGCGCAAGGAAGCGCCTCCACATTTACAATACGTGGCTGATGATTGTTCGTGAGAGCCTCTTAACGGTTCGAAAAGTTAGTCGCGTTGAAAAAGAGCGATGATGTCTTGTGACGGCTGCTCGCGCCGGTTGTGCTCGAGTCGAATCTCCAATCGACATCTCCATACACCTGGATCTGCTGATCAGCAATTATGCCGCACGATCAGATCGATTTTGTGTGAAAAAGAGGTATCAACATACATTGGCAAGAGATTAAGTGTGCCATTGGTTTCGTAGGTAACATTATTCGCTAGTATTGCTACTCGCCAGAAGGGGCAAAAAAAGCTGTTAGGCGAGGACATGTCGAAATTACCTTACAGACAAAACTTGAGTGGGGAACCTTGGAAATGCAAAGGTGAGGTAATTGGGTAGGTAAGATGGTGCACGACCCGTTGCCTTTCTTTCTGCCTTTTCCCAGGTGCTTCATCAGCTTCATACTTAGCAGCTGCGACGACCTCTTCATTCAAATCCTTGCCATTTTGACGGTTATTGGGCACTTTGCGTTTCGGGCACACCAGGCTGTCCGAATTTTCCAGTCACAGCTTATTGCCAATGGCAAGGTGGCGTTTTCACTAGAACTGTTCAGCCTGTACTTTTCCATCTACATCATTCCTCAGTCAATCCGCCAATTTTGGCCTGCGCGATAAGACGATTCGAAGGGAATGGGTGTTTGCCGACAACACAAAACAGGTTGGTTTTTTCTCGCGGACTCATCTACTATCGGCAAAATAATGCCAAGGTAGGGCGTTCTGAGACTGATTTTGCCGGCACAGCTATTCCTGAATACTCTCGTCACTCGCAATTGTTGCCTCTTTCAAGCAGATAAGTTCCTTCGCACAGCGTATGGTTCCCAGCCCTTCCGACCTATCAAAATCGGATTGCTCCGTCTAGCTTAGCCACCATGAATTCATCATGGAAAGAAGCTGAGGCTGCGAACCTCGAAGACGATGCCCAAGTTGATGACGACGAGGAGGATCTTGTATCGGATGCCGATTCAGATGAAATGGAGCTCCGAGGCGATATCGCCAAGTACGAACAGTCCGTCCGAGAATTTCTCTCTTCGCATCACACTGCTGGGGTCAGCGCTGGCGCCGGCCTTGATGGCGATGACGGAGGATTGAGGAAGGCTCCGCCGATGTCGAGGAGCAAACATACTTCGCGCTCCATCCGAGGTCCCCGGAAAGCCGCTGAGCCCAGGGGCGACATCAAGCTTCGTCTTGCGGGAGTGAACCAGGCGTTTATGAGTGGGAATTATGCCCTCGCTCGGGATCTTGTATTCGAGATCATCAGAATCAACGCCGAAACTCATCAGGCATGGACTGTCCTAGCATCCATTTTTCGAGAAGAAGGCGCCAATGACCAGGCGTTGATGGCTATGGTCATTTCTGCTCATCTGAGGCCCAAAGACTTCGCAGTATGGATGGATTGCGCGTCCTTTGCCATGAGCCTTGCCGAAGGCGGTCAAGAAGGCGCTCTCAAGACCGCTCTCATGTGCTATTCATCTGCAATCAAGGCTCAACCAACGAGCCTTGAAGCTAGACTAGGTAGAGCCGAAGCCAGTCACCGCCAGGGCTTCTTCTCTCAGGCTATAACTGAGTTCACCTACGTCATTGAACGTCGCCCGCTGGACATAGATGTCGTTCGACGGTTGGCAGAAGCCTGCGCCGACTCTGGAGGCATGGAAGATGTCCAGAAGGCTGTCTCAGCTTACAAGACGTACTTCGCACATGCACGAAGTACAGAGCAGGAAGGAGGCGGGGAGCTATCATGGCATGACATAGGCATTTATGTGGAGCTCTTTGCCTGTGCTGGAGACTTCGGAAACGCTATTGCAGATCTCAAGTCGCTTTCACGCTGGCTGCTCGGACGACCAAACGACCAACAATGGGATGCCTGTTTCGATGACAGGGAGTGGGATCGTGATCATTCTCGCCGTGTTCAAATCCCCTCTTTCGACCCTTCTGCCTACAACATATATACCTATGGTATGGGATTACCTCTGGAATTCAGGGCTCGTCTTGCTCTATACCGGCTGAAAATCCGAGACGAGGAGGAATCAGATGTATGTATACTGCTGTCTTTCAGTGGCTCAAGATGCCTCAGCATTTACTGATAACCTGCTAGCTCCATCTACAGTGGTTAGATCCAACTGAATCTGCCACGGCTACCGCTATCGAGGACTTTCCCTACCTCGTTCGAGATATTGCAGATGAACTCTGCGCCGTCCAGCGCTACCAGGAGGCACTAGATTACTACGAACTGCTGCGGCATTCCGTTTACGGTCAAGACGCTACCTTGCTTCTTCAACTCGGCCGCTGCTACCTGAGGAAATCCGACAACGTTGCGGCAGAGGACTGCTTTCTTGTGGCTATCCAGGTCGACGAGACCAATATCGACGCTCGTTATGAACTAGCCACGATATACGAAAAGGCAAAGGAGGAAGAGGAAGCTTACATTCTGGTGACTGAAGCGATTGCCCTTCAGGGCATCAACGACGAAGGAGGCTTGGTAGGCGACGGCCGTGGAGATATGGGTGGCATTAGAGGTCACCGTTTATCAGGATCTCTAGCCTCCGGTTTGGCTGATGGCGTCAAGTCACGGCGCAGACGGGAATACAAGCGCCGACCTGCGAATAGCGGAATCGTTCGCCCAAGATATCGCCCGAAGCGCCTTGTAGCTCCCGATCAACGTATGCAAGAGGAACGAGCGCGGGCGGATGAGCTCACTAGGCGATACGAAGTTGTGCGCAGCCTAAAGAAGGAAATCCAAGCAGGCGATCACTCCCTAATACCAACATGGATGGCCGCTGCCGGCGATCTTGTGGGCGAGTTTAGATCCTTCAGGAAGTTCTATCCTTGGGACAAATACCTAAAGTTTCTTGGAGCTGCCAATGATGTTGTGTTCAGCGCTTCATCCCGAAACCAGCCTGGCCTTTCGGAATTGGCTGAAAGATTGTCCAAGAGTAAGCAGTTGATCGCCTCAAATCCGGCCTTTGCACTTATACTAAGTTTCTACAGATATGGCACCATCTCTGACAGAAGAGAGGAGGACAAACGTAATGTACGAGGACGACGGCTATAGAGGCATTCCTTTCGGCGAATGGCTCGAACTGTTCCTTGACTACGCCATAAGCCTTGCCCTGGACAACCGCGCCGATGAGGCCTATCAAGTTTGTGAAGCAGCTCGAGATTCTATCGTGTTCGTCAATTCCAAGGATTACATGTTCTTAATCCATGTTGCATGGGCGGGTACGATACCCTCCAGTCCTATTCGAGATACACTCACTGACTGACGGACTGATGAAACAGCATGTGCAATATATCTTTCCGACGAAGAGATGTGCGTAGCTGTCGCTAGATTCTTTATGAAGGTGCGACAGCTGGACTCGGATTCATACCGCATGTTCGCCGCATTGTGCAGACTGTGCCAGTCACCGGCGTCATGGTATAATTCAGGGCCTGCGCAAAAGTATATTCTACGCCAGATCAAGATCATCGACGCTTCTCACCTTGGTACGGCACAGACAGACAGGAGCTATGATGTCTCAGTTGGTGATCGTACGAGTACTGCTGAGGCGAAACAGCTCGATACTTGTTTACTGATGCTTTATGGGCATATTCTCTTTACTTCAACCAGCTACACCTTTGCACTGAGTGAGTCTCACCAACGACTGACCTTTTCCCAAAAGGACCTGGGCTGACTTGTGAACCCTCTTGCTAGATTACTTCCTCAGAGCACGAACTCTGGACCCACTGAACCCCATGATCAGTCTCAGCGTGGGACTTGGGTACATCCATCATGCTCTCAAGCGGCAGGCTGATAATCGTCAATATCTCATCATGCAAGGGTTCGCCTGCGTATTTGAATTCTGCCATTTTAAACTGTCTGGAACGCCGGAAGAGAAAAGGGAAGCTTTTTTTGGCGTGGCGAGAACGTTCCACATGCTCGGACTGCATCACTTGGCTCTGGAGTGGTATCGAAAAGTTATTAGCGCGGATGCTTCAGATGGTGTTGAGCCACGGGGAAATGCAAGCAGCCGAGATGTGATACTCAATGCGGCATACAATGAGTATGCGCTCTTAATTAGCAGTGGCAGTGTTGACGAGCTGGAGCAGTCTGTTCTGCCTCGGCTAGTCCTCTAGTTTACGACCTGGGATAGATGAATGGGTATTCGCGCGGTTGAAAACTGATCATTCAGATCCACATCGAAGTACATAGAGCACAAGCATATTTCTCAAGACTAAATGTTTGTGTTACTGCGCCGATTGACTTACGGTCCGGGCTCCATGAGAGAAAGAGTTAGGTTTCCAATGCGTAAGATGCCTCATGGCACTCAGCAGCATTACAAGTACCTGGTGCGGTGAGCTACCAACCATTCGATATCTACTCAAGGCAAGGTAGGCGGTCGATGTGACACTTATGGTCACAATGCGACAATGTGTAGGCCAGAAAGGGAAGGTGGAGGCTATTTTGCAGTTTGTGCTGGAAATCCTCGCACTAATCCATTCCAGGAGCCCTCTCCAATCACCCTCTTCTTCCCTACTGACCCACCTACATCACCCCGCCCTAGTCCCGATTAGTGTTGGAGGGGCATTCGACCTGAATTCTTTTTTTCTTTTTTTTTTTGGCGCGCCGGCGTCGCAACAGTAAATCGTTATTAGCTGCCCCTCGTTCAGGTCCCCCCCCCTCCCCCCTCCGACGGTGGAGGTGCAGCAAAGAAACTTTTCACGTCACTGAGTCGCCTGAAAAGTGAATCAGCGTCCATCCGTCCGTCATCACCAATGCTCCTATGCACGCATGAGAGAGACGACACATTCTAGTACTCTTTCTCTCTGTATCTTCGGCCCTTCTAACGTCTGGTGCTTATACCTGGACGTTTGATTACGCGCTCCACGTTGGTCACACCCCACTAGATCGATTCCTTGATTTCGTGTCTGTCTTGCTCGTTGTTCTTCTACCTCGAGGCTGACCAAATACTTCTCCAGGTCCCTCGGTGCTGCTTCTCGTTTTCAATTACGCCCCTCGCCATGACTTCGGCCGATAGTGTGCGCGTTTTGCTCATTGGCAACGGAGGCCGTGAGCATGCGCTTGCGTGGAAGCTCAGCCAGTCACCTCGTGTCGTCTCCATTCTTGCGGTTCCGGGCAATGGAGGTACCGCTACCTGTCCCAAGACCACCAACGTGGAGGATATCGCCGCCGACGACTATCCCGCCCTTGTCCAGCTCGCCAAGGCTCAATCTGTCAACCTAGTCGTCCCTGGCCCCGAGGCTCCTCTTGTCGACGGAGTTGAGGCTTACTTCCGTGCCGCCGGAATTCCATGCTTCGGTCCTTCCAAGGAAGCAGCGCAGATGGAAGGAAGCAAGACGTTCTCAAAGGACTTCATGAAAGAGTACAATATTCCTACCGCCGCCTACGAGAATTTCTCCGACTACGGGAAAGCCGTCGCCTACATCGAACAAGTATCTCACAACGTCGTCATCAAAGCCACCGGTCTCGCTGCAGGCAAGGGCGTCATCATCCCCGCAACTAAGCAAGAGGCCAAGGAAGCCCTCAAGCAGATCATGGTGGACAAGGCCTTCGGATCTGCCGGTGACGAGGTCGTTATTGAAGAGTTCTTGACCGGCGACGAGTTGAGCATCCTTACCTTTAGCGACGGCACTCACACTCTCTCTCTTCCCCCCGCTCAAGACCACAAGAGGATCGGAGATGGTGACCAAGGCCCCAACACCGGAGGTATGGGTTGCTACGCTCCGACGACCATTGCTACCAAGGAGCTCATCCGTCGGATCGATGAGGATGTGATTCAGCCCACTATCACCGGAATGCGCAAGGCGGGTTATCCCTTCCGAGGCATTCTTTTCACCGGCCTCATGATCACCAGCCAAGGCCCCAAGGTGCTCGAGTACAATGTCAGATTCGGCGACCCCGAGACGCAGACTGTGCTCCCGCTGCTCTCTCCTGAAACGGATCTTGCCGAGATCATGATGGCTTGCACGGCTCACGAGGCCCGCCTTGACTGTGTCGATATCAAGATTGAGGACAAGTACAGTGCCACTGTAGTCGTTGCTGCAGGTGGCTACCCTGGTTCTTATGAAAAGGGAACGCCCATGGTGGTCAGCCAGTCGACATCGCCGAATATCACTGTCTTTCATGCAGGAACCAAGCTATCCCCACAGGGTCAACTGGAAACTTCAGGCGGCCGTGTCATTGCAGTCAACGCCACCGCCGACTCCCTGGAAGCCGCCGTAAAGAAGGCGTATGAGCAGGGTCTCACGCTCATCAATTTCGACAAGATGTACTACCGGAAAGACATTGCCCATCGCGCCTTCCGGTCGCAGCAGGGAAAGGAAGCTCTGACGTATGCTGGAGCCGGCGTAAGCGTAGACGCGGGCAATGAGTTTGTTGAGAGGATCAAGAAGGCGGTACGGGCCACCAAACAGCCGGGGGCTGATGCCGAGATTGGAGGTTTTGGTGGTGAGCTTGACTTGGCCAAGTGTGGTCTTCAGTTGAAGAACGGCGAGCTTCCCGTAATTGTCGGAGCTATTGACGGTGTCGGCACCAAGCTCATGATCGCTCAACAAATGGGAAAGCATGACACCGTGGGCATTGATTTGGTCGCCATGAATGTCAATGATCTTGTCGTCCAGGGCGCCAGGCCCCTAATGTTCTTGGACTACTACGGCTGCAGCAAATTGGAGATGAGCACGGCTGCTGCATTCGTCGAAGGTGTGGCAGCAGGCTGCATCGATGCCGGGTGTACACTTGTCGGCGGCGAGACTGCTGAAATGCCCGGTATGTACCAAAAGGATGATTACGATGCTGCAGGCTGCGCGGTCGGCGTCATGATCAACAGCCAAAGACTGCCGCGTCAAGACGACATGGCTGCGGGAGATGTGCTGCTGGGCCTGGCCTCAAGTGGCGTTCACTCCAACGGTTTTTCCTTGGTCCGCCGTATTCTGGAACGCGAAGGTCTGGCATACACCGATCCTGCTCCATGGGATGCTGGCAAGACGGTGGGCGAAAGCCTGCTGACACCCACCAAGATCTATGTCAAGAGCTTGCGTGGTGTCATTGAAAATCGCCTCGTCAAGGGCTTGGCTCATATCACCGGAGGTGGCTTGATTGACAACGTTCCTCGCATGTTGCCGGAGCATCTCGCTGCCGAGATCGACTTGACCAGCTGGGAAATGCCCGCTGTCTTCAAATGGCTGAAGACGGGCGGTAACGTCGAACCATACCAGATGGTTCGCACCTTCAATACTGGTGTGGGAATGGTGGCTGCGGTAGATGTGGCCAACGTTGATGCTACCGTGGCAGCTCTTGAAGCTGCCGGTGAGAAGGTTCTTAGATTGGGACAACTGGTCCAGAGGACCGGCAATGAGCCACACTGCAGAGTAACTAACCTGGACACTTGGGCATCGTAGTTATGAGAAAGAAAGAAAAAAGAAACGAGAAACGGCAAGGAAAATTGGGATGGGCGTTAAACAAAAGAGACAATTAAAATATACCACATGAAGGCGCGATAAAGCGGAATCAACACCAATAAGTCTACCCCTATTCGGATGCTTGATGGATCTGTGCCACGTCCGTCGGCCGTTCGGGAGGCAACAAGCCCAACGAAGATGGCTACTATGGCACTCCAGCTATCACGGCATTTATTGCCTGACTTCAGGGTAATTGGATCGTCTCACCACAGTCATCTGGCTATTGTTGACCCCTCGTCGCTGCTGAAGATCAAGTGCCTCCCATCGCATATTTGGAGACGATCACAGCTTAAAGAAACAAACCAAGTCCCCAATCACAGGAAAACGTAACTTCTTGCTTGGTATGTATTCTGATATTTGGGTATTACGTGGAAAGTAAGGGCAGTCTGAATTTAATCGCCGCCAGGAGTTGAATCCATTTCGCCAACCACTCAGTACACTTCTGTGCGATCATGGGGCACTCACTTGGCCGCTGCCTTTGACCCAATCTCCTCCTCTCCAGCATCGCCTAAATCACGTTCGGCGCTGGTTATGTTCTCCTCGTGACTTCCTTCGAGTGCAGACAACACCAACCAAGTGGGAAAGACGCAGAGAACGGTGATACCAAAGTTGAGGCAGATACTAACAAAGTGGTTGGCGTTGCCCTCGGATTGCATACTTTATGGAGTCAGTATCCGAGAATCGTAAGTGGTGGTGTATAGAAATCCAACGAGGGAAGTATAGAGATGTAACTCACGCCCAGGCAATAGTTTGACCCAAAGCCTCAGTGCCTCTCAGAATACCAGTGTGGCGACTCAAGTCCGAAAGGTCTGTCGCGTACTGCCCGACGAGCCAGTATAGAAATTGTTGGAAGGCCTGTCCACCGAACTGCCAGAAGAAAACGAGAGCATAGCTCTTTCCAAATCCTCCCTGAAACCAGTCATAAGCAGGCGGCTCACTCGCGTTGTAGATCTCTTTCTGTAGCACAGTGGCCCAAATCCATGTACCCACAAGTATGAAGATAATGGAAGTAAAGGCAATGCGGCCACGGCTCTTGATATGGATCTTTTGATTGTCCAGCAGCGTGGCAATCATAAAGGAGCTAAAGATGCCCGCAAAGTTGGTAAAGAAACTTGAAAACGCTCTCGAGCGCACGGTGAAATATGTCGCGAGCCACGTGCTCATGAATCCGTTGTAGAAGTAACTTATGAAGAATGCCGGCAGAAGTAGCAAAATTCTACGGCTGACAAATAACTTCCCAACGGCTTTGAACTCCGCCCCCCATGTTGGAGCCCTCGGTGTGCTGATGACGGTTCCGTCTTTGCGCCAGACCTTATTAGCAGGGGATAGACACAGCGCGATGGGAAGGCCAAGGCACATAATAACAATAAAAACGATATAAGTCGATGACGAGACGGATCCCGTGGTCTTCCGGTTTGCATTGAGGCCCAGGTTAATGGCACCACCCACAATGGGACCTGCAGCCTTGGCCGTTTGCCAGACAGCGAGATAAAATGCTCGATCTCCAGGAGATGGATAGCCAATGATGATGGCGGCCTCGGCTGCCCAAAAGAATCCGGCAGATATGCCACAAAGGGCGCTGCCGAATAACATAAACCAGGTGTTGGCACTGACGTTATTCGTATACAAGCCGGCACCGTAGAGCGGGTAGCCTATAGCACCCAAAGCAAGCCCGTACGGAAGACCGATGCGATTGTTGATGGCGCCTGCAGCGACACACACGATTGCGAACAGGCCATATACTTCGTAGGGGAGTTAATGGATCAACCCAGTGAATAATACAAGGCTTGTTGGAGTGGAAGTCATACCAAGAGCATTGGCTGCGCTGACAGCATATGGCTCAGCAGCGCCGCCGGCACCAAGCCCGCCCAGGGCATCCCACATACCAGGGGCTGTGAAGGATACCCCACAAGCGACGACAATTTGGAAAGGTACTGATCGAAAAAAAGGCTTGGCCTTGGTGATGGGGCTCGGACTATGGCTCGAGGCCGAACCGGGTGTCGGAGCAGGGCCCGTTTGCGCCGGGTGCCGGCCCTGGGTGTGGGTGGTTCTGGACATGGTAGTGTGCGATATCGATCTGAACTCTATTAACCGCAAAGAAAGCTGCATAAAGACAAATTAGGAAAGAGACTCAAGCCAAACACTTCCACGTGGGATCTGAGCCTCCAAAGTCTTTTTATCAAGGCATGCTAGTGTAGACAGACATTTCTTTCCTACCATTATGTCTTATTGTGGGTTGATGGCGCAATCGGATTTATGAGTAAGAGAAATGTTGAAAATGGAGCATTCTCCATAAGTGTGCAAAAACGTAGTCACAGTTATTGAAGTATGAATATATATATACCCCTCGGCCTATAGACCAGCCTAGTAAGTCAATTCCCTTGTATATATGCTTATAGATAGTACTTGTTTGTTTTTTGTTTTTACCTTTATATCACGGCACTGGGCATTAGGCCCCTGTGCGCCCGAGCCTTGGGTACCTAGCAGACCACTTATAAGTTACGTAATTATTTAACTACTAAACTTAAAAACCTAGCGCTTTAGATTTTATTTATTAATTTGCTTTTTTTTATATTAAGTTATATTTATTAAATAAATATAAAACTATTTTAATTTATTTTAAGTTCTTTTTTATAATATTACTTAATATAACTTATAAACTTATTCTTTAAAAAAGAAAATAAATATTTTTTAATTAATTAAACTTATTATATTAATTAACTATTTTTAATAAAAAATTTAGAAAATACTAAGTAATTATAAATTAAATATTTATATAACGTACTTATATAACAAGTTACTTATTATAATAAGTTACTTATTTATATTACGAAAAGGAACTCGAGGTAGGTCGAAACGCTACTATATTAACTTAATAAACATAACTTAATATAAAAAAGGAAAAAATAAACTAATAAATAGAATTTAGAGCGCTAAATTTTTAAACTTAGTAATTTAATAATTATATAATTTATAAAGGGTCCGTTTAGTATTTAAAACTGCGAGTATATAAGGGCTTATTACTTAATATTATAATATTACCCCCCTCTCCTAGTATAAGAAGTACTATTTATAGTACTTAATTACCTATTTATATTTTTATAATTATTCTTTTATAAGCTATTAAAATCTAATTAATTATCCGTTATTTTTTTTATCTTATTATTAGTTATTCTATTATTAGTTAATAAGGCTTAGTATTTAATTTTTTTATAAATATTAATAAGGTAAAAATTAGTACTAATATAACACCGATTTATTAGGTACTAAATAATAAAATTATTATAAGCTAAAGCTTATTTTTAAAAAGTTCGCTATAGGCTGCGTAAAGTATTAGTAATTTAGGTATTATTATTAATATTTTTTATATTATTATTATAAATAAAGAGATATTACCCTTATTATAC